AAACTATTATATTACTCGTTGTGATAAACCCAACATGCCATGTTATAAAACTCTGTATTATATTACTCGTTGTGATAAACCTGGCATGCCATGTTATAAAACTATTATATTACTCGTTGTGACAAACCTAACATGACATGTTATAAAACTGTATTATATTACTCGTTGTGATAAACCTAACATGCCATGTCATAAAACTATTATATTACTCGTTGTGATAAACCTAAAATGCCTTGTTATAAAACTCTGTATTATATTACTCGTTGTGATAAACCTAACATGACATGTTATAAAACTCTGTATTATATTACTCATTGTGACAAACCTTACCTAACATGCCATGTTATAAAACCTACTATATAGTGTGGTTGATATAACATTATTCTTTGCTTTCACTCACAAGTTCTTGGAATGCTACGTTATAAAATGACATAATACGTACAGTGTCCTTTCAGAAACAGCGTGAGGAACTCGTCCCATGGTCCTTTGTAGTTGCCAAGAAACGTAGACATTCTGTGGTGGTGATAGTACGACACAGCGTTATCTTTAGGGTTCCGCACGACGTATATTATCTAAAGACAGTGGGAAAATTCTACTTAGATATTATTTTAATAAGACGGTACCACCAAACATTAGTCACAAATCATTTATCAAAACTGAACTGTGTTCATGTGACACGCGCTGATAACAGATATGTTGCATGTTATAAACTTTGATAATTAAAGATGTACAATAAAACAACTAACGGTGAAATACTCGTCAAATTTATTAACGAACACGAAAACAGCGTTTCAGACATTCGAAACCCAATGAAGGGCCGTTATCCGAAACGTTTTCCTGTTCGTTAATAAAGTTAATTTAATTTGGCGAGCGTTTCACCGTTATTTTTTTATAAACTTATATTTTGGCGTTGTAAATAAACCTCTCTAACACACACAACTATATACTCAAACCATATATAGTAAAACCGAACTCCCCTCTACCACCCTCACCTACTGCAAGCCACACATAATCAACGCGTTTTTCGTTACAATATTTTATGATTAACCATTCTGATCATTAAAAAGAAAAAATCTTAACTTTATACCAACAAGATTAAACACCTTAAAAAAGTCTTTAAAATTTAGTAACAGGGTTTGTTTTAATACTAACAAATTTCGAAAAAAATATTTCATAAACTGATTTTTTTTACAGCCTAGTAT